TTGTGAGTAAATGTGTATGGTATGTTAATTATTCCCAAATTATTGGTTATTAGAAATTAAGTTTTAGGTCTAGGTAAATAAGCATTTTAAACACTTGATATATTCTGGCAAACTTCCTTAATAAAGGGTTGTATCCTTGCCAAGACTATCATCGCCTCTCTGCTCTGCCTTTGTCAACTGAACAGTAGGTAATTATGGCTTCATCTTGGCTCAACATTTATATGTATTCTTACATAGAAACATTAAAAGTTCTATATTTTTCTTACTGATATTAAATTATTTCTTTTTATCAGTTTTCTGTGAGGACATCTCAGGTGTTCATACAGGTTGTAAAAACTATGTTTAAGACATATCACTTTTGCTGCCATATACACAGCTATGTTTCATCTACTTGGCTATCTCTGCCCCATGTTATTCTGGAATGGTGGTCCGTGTGGAATGGTGGTCCGGATTGTAAAGAGTTCTTTTTATCAAAATGTTGAAACTTAATACTATATTTTATAGATTCAGCCAAAAATTCTATATGTGTTTCTCAACCTGCACATAAGTGAAAGTGGCAACATATATGTTTTATTTGCTTGCTTAAGTCATTGATACCATGAACTGTTAGATAATGCTGCTAGATAAAAATCTATAATTTTTTTCAAAAATTTAATAGTCAGCACTTGGACTAGCTCTCCTCTCTCACCGAAAGCACTCTCATTTTAAAGTCATGTCTAAAATCAAACAGCCAGACTAGGGCAGAGCCAGAGGCCATGCCAGTGCCAATGCTTTGATTTGATTGTGCAGTGGCAAGAAACGTAGAATCAAAGAGAACCGCATTTGACCGGGACACACCTGGGCTTCAGCCACATCCACTTTACCTTGAGCAAATTACTTCTGCAGCTGTTCCTAATCTGTAGAATGCGAGAAAATAATCCTACCAAACTCATCCTTCTGTTGTGAAGGCAAATTATTCGAGTTCCCCAGGCAGTGATATTCATGAAAAGATACTATGTCCTAGGCAAGTTTTGATGTGCCATGATTATAACTGTCTTGAAAACAAATCACATCTAAGGCTAATTATTTTGATTTCATTGAATTCAAATCATGACCTATAGTCCTGCTCTTTTCAATCTGTCTTCTACCTTCAATATAGATGAAAGACACCTGGGGGTATCTTTTTTTCCAGATTCAAAAAAGTCAAAACAACAACAACAACAAAAAAAAAAAACATGTAATGTAAGCGCCTAGTACAGATACAGCTTATGTCAACTTGGGAAGAGCAGGGATTCAATAAGTAGATTACTGTCTTGCAATGTTCTTTATTAAAAGCAGAGAGCAGGCCCTTCCTGGTGGTTCAGCAAGTTAGGAGGCAGCACTGCAAACCAGCCCCAGCCACTTCAGTGCAAATTCGATCCCTGCCCTGGAGGTGACCACATGGCGCGGCAGACATCTCCTGGCCCACCCACTGCTCCCCTCAGCAGTGTACTTTGTTGATCTGCCTGTTCTGCTCCCCACTCTGTCTCTGGTGAAGCCTCTCACCGCCCTTGCACCTCTGGCTTGTACCCCAGTTCTGTATGAATAAATAAATCTTAAAAAAAAAAAAAGAAAAGTAGAGAACAGGGCCCTCCCTGGTGGTGCAATGGGTTAAAGTGCAGCACTGCAAGTGTGCCGTGGCCCGATCCCCAACCCTGAGGGTGACCCACATGGTGCAGCAGACCTCCCCTGACCTGTCTGCTGCTCCCCTCAGGAGTATATGTCATAGATCTGCCTATTCTGCTACCTCCTCTGATGCTGGTGAGTCCTCTGTCCTGCACCCCAGTTTTGTATGCATAAATAAATAAGTCTTTGAAAAAAAAAAAAGTAGAGAGCAAATTTTCTTTAAACTGTCTTTGTAGCTTGGTAAAACTTAGAGAATTCTTAAACTATGTGGGTACATAAAATATCCAAACTCCCCTGCATCAAGACAAAACGCAGAATGCACAAGGCAGAATGCTGCAAGCCTTCCAGATTCAACACCATTCATTCCCTCACCCACCTACATTTTAACTGAGTAGTTTCAGTTGACCTATGAATCCACAGATATAGCAGCTAGCATATAGTCAGACAACTCAGACTAAGACAGGAGAAAAGATACTTAGAGCACTTTTGTTGTTGTGTAGAACTGGTGTGGAACTTGGGTAGACCAGAGGTGGAGTGGGGAGCAGAACAGGCAGGTGAACTGGAATACACTGCTGAGGGGAGCAGTGGAGAGACAGGAGAGGTCTACTGTGTCACAGAGTGAGCTGAGGACTGAACTCAAGCCTTAGAGGTGATGACTGAGACTTGACCCCTAAGCCACCAGGGAGGCCCTGTTCTTAGTGTACTCTCTTGACAGAAAAATTGAACTTCTGTGTCCCTCCCTTAAATACTGATTCCTCAGGGCTCTGCTAGTGCGTAGAATCAGTACAGTGGTCAGAGTCTAGGCAGGGCGGCTGGACTTCTCGATCTGACTCCTGGGTCTACTACTTAGATGTCACTTAATTGTCCAGTGCCCTCTGTCTATAAAAACAGGCAGGCAGAAAGAAAAAGGAAAATACCAGATGGTTTCACTAATAGCAGGAGTGTAAGTATTCAGAAAAAATATATATATTGTAATAAAGTAATATGAAAATCAAGAAACGGCTATAAGCCAGAGACATTCTTTGATGGTAGAGAGGGGAACGGGAATCAAAACTGGGTCAGGAAGAGCATATGGAGTACTGTGATCGCGGAAGGGTGAATCTATGGTGGAGATTACAATCAAGATGAAAAATGCATAAGACGCAGAATGATACAATGTTGTGAGTGTGTGCGTGTGTGTATGTAAAAGTTACTGCATTTCTGGAAAAATAATTAGGCGGGAAAAACTTCTGCCTGATGGAGTCTTTGCTGATCAAGTTACATCCTTTTACATACTTCCGAGGGCCATCAGGCATGTGCCCAAATTTTAATATTACATTAATTTTTGTAATAGCATGACTATCTGGCTTCTCCCACCAGACCATAAACTACAAAGGGCAAAAATAGGAATTTGTCGGCATCATTGCCCGTTGCTGTTATGTGTACAAAGAAATTCGAAAAGTACTGCGTTTTTGTTTAATTTATTAATGCAATAAGTCCCCAAACTAATTTTCCTTCTATGGTCTTTGGTTAAGCTTTGGGATAATTTACAGGCTTAGTTAATTGAATTGCTTTAAGGAAACAATCATTGCACCAAATAATTGTGGATTTTCTCAGTATTCTAAGGTGTCCTAATGGATGTCAAGACCAGGTTGCGATTTCATCCAAAACTGAAACTGACTGCCAAGCTCTTGAGGGCCCTTTAATTCACTGAATTCTTATGTCCAGGGGCCATTGTCTGTACAATCACTGCACTGATTAGTCACAGCTTTACCTCAGATGTTAAAATTGTGTTTGATGGAAGTGAGACATTCTTCCTGACATGGTCTGATTTCCAGGCACAAGATGGAACAGATTTCTTCTGCTGACATATTGTCACTCACCTTGGTATCCCATGAACCCAGACGAGTGCCTGGCCTGGCTCAGGAATGAATGAGGGAACACCAGTTCAGAAAGGCCTATAAAGGAGTTATTCAGTTAAGCCAGTCCAGGCACCTCTTCACAGTGCTTAAAAAAGGAAAAGTAAATCCCTTTCAGCTCAAATTTATGTAGTTATCTTGGAAAAAAAATTTTTTTTTTCATTGCCTAGAGTCCTCATAGCTCCTCGTTAAACCCTAGCATAAAAAGAAGTATAAAAGCATGACTAAAATATTCACACTCTACTCCAGTCCCTATAAAAAAATGAATCACTAGTTTATTCATCTTGCCTAATGACACAGAAGGGCAAAACAAGTACCCAAACAATGAATAATAATGCACGATCACACACTGTAAAATCAATATGTCAAATCAGGAGAGATGTGCTTCGTTTTAATGTGCTCATGCCCGAACGCGGTCGAGCTTACCTTCTGAATTATATATACGTATTGACCTAATTACATAAATATTGACTTTTCCTTATATGAACCCTTTTTTTCAGTCCCACTGTAATTACCATGTCAATATTTGTGGCCACAGTAGCACTGAATTTAAACTTGTTAATTGTGAATGATAGTGGCGTGCCAGGAGAGGTTCCATGGGCCATGGTCTCAGAGTATGCCATTGGAGGCCCTGGATAATAAACCAGCCAGTCATTCCTTAGAGGTAGCACAGTCAGGTAAGCTTCTCTACAAAATGGTCATTTCATCCCGTATCATTTTAGAATCAGTCTCTGGACAATTTGGTTTTAGAACACAAAACAAGTAGCAACCAGATTATGACTCAGCCTTCATCAACAACTTGACCTGTTTTGCCGTTTTTCCCCCCCATGAAGTCAAATATTTATCCCTAATTTCAATCTCTAGTGTACACTCTTTATACACTGTTTGACCTATAGGGAGATATCACCACAAGCATCCTCACTTATTGCTGTGTGCATAAAGATAAAATTTAGTATTTGTTGTCATTCATTGATATATTGCCAATAATTCCACACATAGTTTAGTCTAACATAAAATATGAAGTAGAGGAATTCTGCTTTTTAAACAATATCCTATGTCATTATTTCCCTTAATGTTTTATTTTCATGAGTAAAGGTGTCACATATTTACTACTATTGTTATATCTCTGGGAAAAACAATGCCATATTTCAGGAAACTTTAATTAACTGTCTTAAAAAAAATCAGTGACATTAGCAAATCATCCAAATGCTCTAAAAATCTGAAAAGCTTGAGACTTTACTCATAATATTTCCGAGAACTCCCACTCAAGGACCTGCACTCCCCCCGATTTAAGAAAAGAAGTCACAGTGTCACATTAATCATTTAGAGTTACGTGGACACGTGGAGAATGCTAGAGAAAACCATGATGTCCAAACTTTTGAGTTTCAGAGCTGGTCTAGATGTATCACAGTGAGGTGTTCATGCATCATCCTGTATTTTTCTTATTTGCCTCTGCAGGGATGCCAGAGGAGCTGAACTTCAGTGATGTCAAGCACATCCATCAAACAGATGGTGGCAGTACTCTGGGCACAACTGGAGCAGGATGCCCAGCAGGGTCTGAATCTATGGCACTGATGCTGCTGGGCGTGGTGATGGTTCTGCCTGGGCTCTGGTAACTGAACTCAGCTGCCCCTCCCCAGAGCAGTCTTCCAGGAGTCTAGATTTCTCCCCTCTCTCCATAAACCTGGAATAGGATTCTTTCTGAATGTAACGACCATATTTATGCAAAGATATGCCACACTAACTTCTTAGAGGCCAAGTTGGAATGTCAGAGTATCTAAAAATCAACACTGGAATACTCTGAAAATGTCTTCTTTGAATCTTTCTTAAACCTTCTTAAATTCTAACATATTAAGCCTGCAAATGTGAAGATCACAGAGTGACTGTGCAGAAGGGGTTATCTCTAATTTTGTTATCCTCAATTCCAACCCCTATCCTTTCTTCAGGACAGAAAAAGAGTTTCAAAATCAAAGTACATTTGCAGGACAATGAAGACAGTTCCAATTATTTAAACTACCTGAGTTAGAATCACATTGAATCTATCCAAAAACTCAATGGCAAGTAACATGCATGCATTTTCAAGAGATTCTTCCATTTTTGCAAGCTATAGAAAGAAACTACTGAAAGTCTTTTAAATTAAATTGTGAAAAAACAATTCATGCAATTTTATTGAAGGAGCTTGATCATTCTATCCAATGTAAACTAACAACATACAGCTGAATTATTTTGGTAGCATCTGATCTGTACTGTATTATATTCTAAAGGCATTTTCAGTATTGTGACCCTGTTCCCTCATCTTTCTGCCTAGTGGATTTAGCTACACTGTAAAGCACACGCCTGCTTCAGGAATATCTCTAATAAAGCTGTTAATTACTTCATGGAAAACCTTAAAGAATCATTAATCATTTTCTTCTGGCAAAATTTCCTGATGTATTTTCAAACATTTGCTCTCTTTTTAAAATGTTGAACCAGTAATTGTGCATTTCAAGACTACAGAAAATAGCTACAGACATGTGCTAAAATGCAAAGTGTGGCAAGCAAGTGCATTAGCTTGCTTACTATTTGCACATGAGCTGAGCTATTATCCATCTCCTGATTTCCCAGTTGTGATAAGACTCCTCACTTGACACTATCACTGTACTTAAGAAAAGTTAGCGTTTACTACAAAATATCTCATTCAGTAAATAGCCAGAAAATACCATTAATGCAAAGCAACAGAAAAGAGAAGTGCTGAACTTTTAATATTTTTCTTTTTTAAAAAAGGACTTGAAACAATCCCGGAGAAAGAGGACTCCTTTTATGGCAAATATTTGTGAGGAGAAATCAAGTGAGCCAATCAGGAATCCCTTTATGATCAAACTATATTCTCTCTTAACTCCTCAGTTAGCAAATGACCTTAGGTTGATCAATTTCAGCACCAGAATATTTTTGAACTTCCACGTACAATGTAATTGTCTCTTTGACATGTCTCAGAACTATAAGTATTATTCTAGTTGACAATGCTGAATGCCATTTTCTGCAACTCCAGGACTTAATAAGTACCGTATAATCTGCTTGATTTATAGTTCATTGTACTAAAACATTCCACAAATAATAAATTTAAATATGCATCATTTTTGCTTTAACTTCAATATCACTTCTTTAAAGAAAACTGAAAAAAAAAAAGTAATACTAAGTCACCATTTTCAGCCCAAATGATGGTTGGTTTGCTGTAACAGAAGTTCTGACTCAAAGGAATTTCAGACACAAAAGTGCATGGCTTAACAGTCTAAGATATATCTGAATAAAATTAGTTGATAGGAGGTAATTTTAGATTTGTTAAAAATGGATAAACTCTTCATCACATATCAATAAATTAGGAATAAATGTTATTAAAAAATTATATACTCAAATGGGTGTTGGTTTCCTCCAAGACGATGGATTGTGTATACATACATACATCCATAGACACCCATGCACTATCTACATACATTTATTACATGTGTACACTCGTGCATATGTATAAAGCACTATTATTATATTAATTTATGATGACATTGATAGCTAGATGATTGCTGGAACTAAGACCATTTGGAGGTTTGGAATTCATTTAAGAGCCTAAGGTGTATTTGTTAATATTCTCAATGAGGATTATTTAGTCTTCAATACTCCATAACATTTAACTTTTGTATACATCTTTATATTTTGCAAAGGTCTATCAAGGGACAAAGTATCTCAATAGACCTTCCTCACCCCTCAAGGATGGGCTTGCTGTTTAGATAAATAAAAACAATGCCACTTATGTTTCAAGATATAACTGATAATTGCTTGTGAAGCTTCTTCCTTAAGTAAATTTCAAAAGCTTTTTTTTTTATCATGTGTCTAATTCCCAAGATGAATTAGATAATGTACAAATGAATGAATATATATATATATATCTATATATTAAATATCACACACATATTTATACTGACATCTTATGCTTGTCTTAAGCAAAGACAATTTCTTGAATATCTAAGTAATTTTCACATAAATGTAATTGATCATAAAACAGGCCAGTGTTTTGCAGATCTTGGGGGAAAATCAGTTAACAATTTGAGCCGACATGTACATGAACCCCCTCTGTATCGGCACCACAATAACTTTTCATAGGAAAGCCAGCTAAAATGTCTCCAGTTAATAGTGTACCTTCTGTTTTCCCAGTGAGAAAACTGAGACTTAGAACACTTATGTTAGAACAATTGTTACATATCTAACAATTATGTGTCTAGTATCACACAACACATCATACGACTGTATGACATTCCTGGCACAGATTTGATAATTCTGGAGCATTTGTAAATAATCATGAGGTTGGCATAGAAATGATTCAGCAATAATTTTTCTTTTGCATTTGACTTTTTGTTTTCTTTACATTAAGGTAATAAGGATTTACAACATTGTATGATTTAGAAGTACTGAACCAGACCCTTCACGTGTACCTTACCACACCCACCATCAGGCCACCCACAGTCTGTCCTTCACTACAGTCCACTGTGTTCCCTCCTCACTTTGTTCTCATCCCTGCTGTCCTCAGCTCTAGAGTCAGACTCTAGGGTTGGTTAATGGTTTGGTTTTATCTAACATTTGTTTCTCTTTATTCCACATATAAGCGACACCACTCAATAACTCCCATTAGTATAAAAAGAAGAATGAAAAGAAATATAAACATGACCAGATATTACCCTGTGATATGTACAAATCTCAAACACATCAACCTTCTGCAAATAAATCAACTAACAAAAATTAGAATGAAAATATACAAGGTTTTTAACTGTTTGTAGAATCATGAAATCTTTGTTTTCTGAGCCAGTGAAGGGTATGAAACATTTCTTTGTCCACAATGCACAGGGTGATGTGAAAAACAGGAAGGGAAGGAAGGATGGTGTAAGGGGGGAGGACGAGAGGGAAGAAAAAAGAAAGAGGTTGGGAGGAAAATCAGGGAGGGAGGAGGATCAGTGAATAGGATATAGTGGATTATTATAGAAGTCCTAGGCTTGCCTCTTTGTGCTCCACTTGTTTAGGAACATCTTATCAATGAAATAATATCTAGAGTATTATATTCCCATTGAAAGACCAGTTAATAAGCGATTTTCCCAAACATTCAGATTTCTCAAGTGTTCAATAATGATGTTTTGAAAAAGATTCAATTACTTTGCTGCCAATTGTTTTCAATCATTTAAAATATTGTTCCGATCATCAGAACCGTTCAGTTACAGTGAAAACTGTTGCTTCTGGAGTGAATGAATTCTACCTAAGCTTCTGTGATGCTGAGATAGTCACTCAACAGTCTGTGCTGGCCAGTCACAGATGTTGGTAATCTGTACAATTACATAGGCTGGATGAAATCCAGAAATAATTCTTAATGTTGTTAGGTATGATTTGGGGCAAACCAAGTTTTTCTTTAAGCTTGGATTGTATTATCAGTCATCCTTGATTAAAATATAGATCAAATGTATTTCTCAGGTTCCAAGTTTGATTTCCTTGACTTTGCTTGAGTTACATGGTGACTAATATGTTATAATTATTTATTAATGGAAGTTTTATTAAATACAGTTCTTAAACTATCCTCCCTGCCTATATGTGCAGAAATAATCACATAACATTGTTTGTAATTGTATCATAATTATGTATGTATATGCAATCCTTATCTTCATAGTATCTTAAAACATTTGGGGGAAATGCGATGGAAAGGAGTATTTGTGGGTACACTTGTAAAAATGTCAAGAATTTCTCACTTTCCTGCACTTGTCAGTTGTCCCACATCACTTTCATGAAGAAATGAGTGAGATCATTCCTCAGAATTTTTACTATATCCAAGAGCAGAGCAAAGATAAACTGATAAAGGACATTGAAATGCCATAGATGTAAAACCAGAATACTGAATAGTTAAGAGATTTGGAGGTAGGCAGAATGATGCTGACCCACAAGAATAACTTGTGTAATTTCCTCAGTAAGTTTCTTTCATGACGTATAATATACACCTTTGACAAAAATTGAACTAAAAGAAAGGTCTAGAAGGAAAGCAGTGGGGAGGTTTCTGATTTTCCTGTGATCACCCCGTCAAGGCCATCAGCATCAGGAAGGGCAGGTATGTATGGGGCAGTGACAGAAGGGTAAGGCGGGTCAGGAGTGGTTGTTAAGACAAAGGTCTGAGCAGTGAAGTTTGTTAAGCAAGTTCCTGGACTATTCTTTCTCTTTGAGAATCCTAGGCATTGGTCAGAAAAAAGATTTTCAACAGCAGTGATTTCTCAAAATGTTTGGAAAACTCACATAGAATCAAAAATATTCTTGCTCCTAATTGTGGCTGAACTGTCAGACACTTCCAGAACGCAATCAGCAAGATCATGGTGCTTTTCCAACTCACCCAGCATCCCCACTCCTCGCCCTGTCTCCCACATGCACTAGCTGGCCACACACCTTTTCTTGCTGTTCAATTTCCTCTTGGTTTCCTTCTCCATGAAATCAACACATCTGGATCAAACTCCAATTACTTAGTGAACTAAAAAAATGTGACACCTATTAGGAACCCATCTTCCCCAAGATAAGCCATAATATCCCATGTTTGTTCCCTTCCCATGGAGTCTCAGTCAAAATGCACGTTTCCAGGAGAGAACATGCCAACATATTCAATTATGGATTTTGCTTTTGATGGGGAAACCAAAGTGAGAGAGTGAATAGAGCTTAGGGAAGAAGAGAGCAAAGAGATGAAAAGAACACAGGAGGCTCACTCCTCATTAACATATGTTTGACTGATCCTCATACATAAGGGGGAAAGGCGAGTTCATTGAAAATAAAACTGTCCATGTCAGAGTAACCTTGATTCATGGATGATAAAGGGCTTTTTGGCTTGAGCCAGGATTCGCATGTGAGTTAGTATCTATAGAACCTTCCCATCCTGCTTGATGGTCTCTTGACTCGCCTGTTCAGATAGGTAGAATCATGCTGATGTAACCAAGTGTAGAAGGCAGTGCAGGCATGGGTGACAATCATCAATGAGTTGACTGTTGTTCAGTATTTCCTGAAGAATCATGTAGTATTACAGAAATACCCAAGGGGGTACTTCTGAGTGGCACAATCACTTCTTAAATTCTCATCACTAAATTGGTGACAAGGCAAGTATTCTAAATCAGTTCAAAGGGCCAACTCCCTTCCACAGTACAGTCAGAACCTAGGGCTTCCAAGAAACAGATTGGTCAACCCTTGATTAACTTAAGCTCTTTGTAGCTTTTTGCAAGATGTTTTTAAATTTTTTACCTTGTTTCTTTCACTTTTTATTCTCCTCACATCTCATCTCTGAATTATTTTTTTTCTCTTTTCCTTTCATCTCAAAGGTAACTCTGGTAATAAGGTGAGGATCCT